CCACTCTGCTGGCATTATTTTTCCTTTTATTTATTTATTTTTTTTTGTGGTACTCGGGTTTCAACTCAGGGCATAGCTACAACTTAAACCACCCCACCAGCCCTTTTTTGTGATGGGTTTTTTCGAGAGGGCCTCCCCAGCTATTTACCCTGGCTTTGAACTGTGATCCTCCTGATCTCTGCCTCCTGAGTAGCCAAGATTACAGGTGTGAGCTACCTGAGCTTGGCAATATAGAAGGGAAGGCTTTGTTTCTTTGTTTTTGGTGGGACTAGGGTTTGAACTCAGAGCTTACACTTGCTAGGCAGGCGCTCTACCTCCTTGTACCCACAATGGAGGAGCCACTCCTCCATCTGCTGGCATTACTTGCTGTACTTGTTCCTCTTCCCTGCTGTGGACAGCAGCTCCTGCCCCTCTGCCCCCCCCCCCGCCCCAAACACACACACCAGCATTCTGAGCTTGGAACTAGAACTTGACTCCTGGTGCCCACCCAGAGCTCCATCCCACAAGACCTGGATGAGAGGACACATGAATGAACTTGGAGGACTTGGGAGGAGCGCACGTGTGAGGGCACAGGGTATGTGTGGGTCTCACGCACTGGGCAGCTGGCAGCAGACACACTGCCTGGTCCTCAGAACCTTCTCTTCCCAAGAATCTCCCTGTGTGCTTGAGGCCCCTGGTGGGGGGTGGCCCCTTCCACTCAGCTCCCCAGAGGCCCGACCTGGCTGCTGACCGCAAACGGCTGGCCCTGTGTGCGGCACATCTGGGAAAGCGCTCAGAACTTTGGAGAACTGTTGAGAACCATGGAGAAAGCACTGGACCAATGCTGGCCTTTCCCGAGGGAAAGCCGCCCTGCCCCACCCCGCCCCACCCCGCCCCACTCCCCGACAGCCTGGGTGTGAGAGTCACAGCCTGACAGACCAGAGATGAGAGAACTGGAAGCGGCCTTAAAGCTTTGACAGTCCCCGTCACAGAGGAGGTAGCTGCAATCCGGAAAGAGGGTGGGGGCCAGGCAAGCCCAGAACAAGACAGACTGGATCATTGTCAATCACTCACAAAACCCTCCAGCAAAGTCAGCTGCTTTTCTGTCCATAGCACTGTCTCCCAGCCACCTCCCTGTACCCTTCCAGGGACCTCTACCCCGGTCCTCCCTCCCACAGGTACATCTGCCAGCAGGAGGCATGGACTCACCTGCCCAGGGAAGGCAAAACTTCATCCCCTGGTTGCCACTCCCCACCCATGTGACAGTGGGCTGACAAATTAACCTCCTGCACCCAAGAGTCCTAATCCACAAAGAGGCTCAACAGGTGCATTCCGACAGGGGTTCAAAGATCAAGGGTGGGACAAGACAGGTGTGGAGGAAGAGCAGTTCTGCCCCCACCCCAGGCCAGGCTGCAGGCGGGGTCAGGCTGAGATGGACAGGGTGCTGCCAGATCAATACTGCTTGACTTAAGGAAAGCCAGACACGTTCAGCCAAGGTCTGTCCCCACATCCCCCCCCCACACACACACCAGAGGGACACAGGGGCATTTATACTGTGTTCTTTTTACCATGAAGTACAACACTGCTTCGGTGACAAGAACAAAATGTGTATGAAAGTGTCTGATTACATATTTCTAAAATAGATAACAAAGACCAACATTCTGTTGGGATGACAGGGGATAGGTGAGGGACAGGGAGACAGCCCTCCCTCCTCCATCTCTGAGCACAGAGTGCTAATTTAGTGCCCCGTCAGTACAGGAGAGACACCGCCCAGGAAGCAACCTGGGGCCAGGATCAGGGACAGACACCTCTGCCAACCCCCAGCAAGGACACTTCCTCTGCAGGACCCTCCTGCTGGGCCTGGGCTCTCCATGCCTGGGCTACATGGAGAGTTTCCTGCAGTGACTATCTGCAGGACCCTCAGCTCCTTGGTGGTCCCTGACACCTCCCCTAAACTCAAATTCTAGTATACACACAATGTGCACACACAGCCGTGCACACTGGCCTCTGTTCCCTGTCCTGCTTACTCATTTGGATCCCAGGCCCAGCATGGAGGCAGTGACCTTCCCCTGTGCCAGGCCAGGAAAGCATTGTTCAGCAGGCAGTCCTGCAGGGGAAGTGGGTGGCTGCTGAGTTCTGGCCCTCTAAAACCTAGTACGGGTCACCAGAGAATGCTGGGTTCCCCCATGATCCTCATTACCCTGGCTGACTGCTGAGCTGGAGCAGCAGATCTGATGGCTGAGTGACTGCTAACAAGTCCGGGCTGCTCCCAAGGCCAAGCCAGAGAGCCCTTCCTTCCTGCCTCATCAGGTAGAAGACAGTGAGAGTGAAAATGCTGTGAAAAGGAGGCAGTGGCCACTTAAAGGACAACTAACCCTACTCAGGGACAATCAGCTCTGATCAGGTGGTGACCTGCAGTGGGCGTGCCCCAAAGCCAGCTGGCATCCTGAAAGTAGAAGCCATGTTGCCCCACTACAAGTGTTTCCCAGTCAGCAGGTGGAGTTGCACTTTCTCACCACCTGGCATTCCGCTGCAATGTTTAGATTCCTGGTTGCCCCGGTTAAGTCAAGAGGAGGTAGGAGGTGTGGTTCTTTCGGTCCCAAGTACACCATGTCCTGCCCAAACCTCTCTTGAAGTTTCCAGCTCTGAGTCCTGATCCTCCAGGGCTCTAGCACAACAGGTGAGATTTCTTGAGGCAGTTACTGTTCCCAGGGTGGGCCAGCTCTCTGCCTGGCTTCTCAGGTAGCAATCCTGTACAGGGAGTGGGATGGAGGCCAGGCACCCCGGGATGACTCAAATCCTCACCACAGCATGACCCAGCACCCAGCCCAGCACAAGGTGACTAACGAACACTCTGAAGGCATTTCCAAACTACCACAGGACCAGAGCTCCTCAAAGAGCAAGGGAGGGAGCCTTGGAACAGAACAGAGTGAATGTTCCACCTCCCGCAGGGCCAGCTGGACCCTGGCAGCAAACGGTCCCTCAGGAGCTGCCCACGCCCCATGGCAGAGAGCCAGATGCCAGAGTCTCAGGTGTCATGAGGCAGCGCCCTTGGCCGGCTCTGAATCCACCTCCCCCAGCAGCTTAAGGAGAACCACTGAAAGCCAAGCCCCATGCCCCGAATTGGAGTAGGGTGTGGTCTGGGCATCGGTATTTTTTCACGAATAGGTGTTATTTGGGGCAGTCTGAGGCTTAGGGAAAGCACAGAGTTAGTCATTCTCCAGGTGACTAACATACATTCTGGGTGGGAACCCCCCAAACTGGCAAAACCTTCACATGCTACCCAAGGAGCCGGAAGCTTCCCGTAGTGGCACGCTCAGTCCCCTGACTGATCCTCAGCGGTCACACACAGACTGGCTGCCAGTTAAATCTGGCCTCATCGCGTGTTTTTGGTACTGCACACAAGCTACAAATGGTTTTTACATTTTTCATGGCTGGAAAAAATATCAGAATATTCTCTGATGTGAAAATATTTACCATCTGGCCTGTCAGAGAAAACTTTGCTCAAGGACAGTTGCCCATCTAAGAGAGGGCAGCCCTTCGAAAAGAAGCCCTCCCTCCCACTCATGGGAAGACAGTAAACTGACCTGTGCCTTGCCCTGGCACTTTTTATCATCCCCACATGCCAGAGTCTCAGAGCTGTAGATGCTCTGAGGGGCTATTGCAGGTGAGCCTGCATCTTTAAGAAGCTTACCTGTCTCCTGAATGGGCTTATAAACCCTCCTCTGTGGTGGCCCATTCTGCTTGTTTTGACTGTCTGGCTTCCTCCAGGCCAGGGAGGAAAACAAGCCAGCAACTGGGCATGGACCCTGGCTGTCCTGAACGCAGGCCAGACTGCTCTGTCCACATAGGGCAGGCTACACTGAGGACAGTGTCCCAAGGCCCCTCCTTTCTAAGCTCAATGGTTTTCATTGATGTCTGCCTTGAAAATTTTCCCCAAGTCTCACCACCTTTCAGGGCAACAAATCAAAATGCAATCTGTCCAGGGGCCACAGTAGGGCTGTGCTGGATCTCTGAGTTTGGGAAGCCCGGTCCGCTGCTATCTGCCTAGAATAGCTGTGGGCATCAGACTCCCTGGAGGCACTGCAAGGCTCTGCAAGGGAGTTCAGATGCAACACCCCCCACACAGCCGTGGACTGATGGATTTCCACAGCGCAGACAGACTTTCACAATGCAAACCGCTCCACTTCTCTGTGGGCTAACTTAATCAGGCTGTGGAGCCAGTCACATGTAGAGGGGAGCTGACTATGAAGGGGGTGAGCTCCCGGCAGCAACGCCCTGGGCAGGGCAAAGAACCGAGAGAGAACAGGAAAGGGGGTGCTTTCTCAAAGCACAGGACACATGCCCAGCCCTGACATCAGGCCAGAGCCTCCCGGGGTGCCCTTTGCCTCAGTCCCCCTGAATCAGAGCCAAGTCCAGCACAAGGAAGAAAAGAACCCTAAGTACTTTTCCAAAGCAAGGAAATGCCCTCCGACGTGTGTACAGAGAGGACCAGGGGCTGCGCCCGGGGCTCAGACGTTAGTTCTGCTAGGAAAACTCCAAATTAAAAAGCTCCAGGCAGGAAGCCGCCTTCTCCCAGATTGGTCAGGAAGTCATGATGCAAGTTCGTACTTTTCTTTTTCTTTTTTTTTTTTTTAACTCGAAAGAGAAAAAGAGATTCGCGCTGCTCCCCTCACCGCCGCTGCAGCCCTTCCCTTGGCCGCAAACAGCCCCTGGCCGGGGCCCCTCATCCCCCAGGTCGGGCGGACTAGGGCTTGCTGGACTGGGCGCTCGCGGGACCGCGCCGTGGGCGGTCAGGGTGCACCTCGCCGCCGCCCTTCGCCCGGTGCCCGGCCGGGGCCCCGCCGAGGCTGCCCCGCGCTCTCATGCTTCTGGAATGCGGGCGCCCAGGGCCGCGCGTCTCGGGGACTCTCCGCGCCCGCCCGCGCGCAGCCCTCGCCCAGCCGACCTTGCTCGGTGGCCCGGCCGCGAAACGGGGAGCCCAGGCGCAGCTCCCTCCCGGCCCCCCGTCTCCCACTCACCCGCCAGGAGCGCGGAGGGCAGCAGCAGCCAGTAGAGCACCGCGCCGAGCACGTGCGGCTCCATCCCCGGAGGCCCGGGGCTGGCCCGGGGTCTCGCCGCCGCGGCGCTAAGGGGAGGCGCGGGGACTCGGGGACCGACGCGCCATGGCGCTCAGGGCGGGTCTCCGCACGTGCCGCGCGCCACGGCCAGGACCCCCGGCTGGACCACGGGGACCCGCGCGCCGCCGCCTCCTTTTTGGGCCGGGGCCCTGCGGTGCCGACGGCCGGAGCCCGCGCGCGCTCGGTTGTCAGGCTGCCCGCGGCGGAGCGCAGCGCGGCTCACGGAGGCCGAGCTGGGCCGGACGGCGGCTCGGCGCTTCCCTCCCTCCGCCCGCCCGCGGGCCTTTATAAGCTCGGCCCCCCGCCCTCCCCGGCGTGCCCGCCTCCGCGCTTCCCCCGACGGCCGGGCGCGCCCAGGCTTCCCCTCCGCTGCCCCGCGCCTCCGCGCGCACGCCGGCCTCCAGGCGCTGGCGGGCGCTTCGGCCCCGGGACACCCCCGCCCCGCGCGCGCCCGGAGAAGACCCCCGCCCTCCGGGGAGCCTGGCACTGCCACTGGGTGTCTGGGTGCGGTGGGCGGGGACGCTTCTCCCTGGGCTGTTGGGACAGGGGCAATACATAAAGGCTTCTTGGGGCCCAGCTTTCCCCCAGCTGCACCCACGCGCAATTGCGCCCCGCGTGGCCAGAGTGCCTTTCGCTTTGCTCCGTGAGACGCTAGGACACAGCGCCCCCTGGGGCCTGTGGGTGGCTCCGAGTTCCCGCCTGCGGGTCTGGCGGCCACGCTGACCAGGCCTGGTGGTTGGGGTGGAAGACTCAGGACTTCCACAGCCGCCAGCCTATTTTGACCTATTGCGGGTCTGGACTGGGGCTTGAGTACTGCTCACGGGTACACCTGTCGCCATCATGTGGCTTGGCCTTAATCAGTTTGCTACAGACAGTAATAACTGCAGCACAGCATTTGCTGTCCTTTTGAGTGGAGAGCCCAGTCCTGAGTCCAAGATGTACAGAGCACCTCACCCAGGCCGTCTCACTTTGGCCTCCATCTGCCCTTAAGGTGGGCAGGAAAGGAGAAAGGAGAAGAGCCCATGACCTTGCAGCTGAATCCAGTCCAAGGTACCCAACTCAGCTGTTTTGGGGAATGATGAGGCTGGGGGTAGGAGCTGGAAGGACCGGAAGAGAGCGTGGTCACCACTGAGCCTCAAGGCACTAGCCAACCCTCCATCTCTCCAAAAAGCCAGAGATGCAGACCTTCACAGGAAGTCTAATGCTCAAACACAACTTTCTCTCTGATACCCACTCTCTGATCTGGCTCCAAAATAGTCGCTCAGAAGAGAGGGAAGTCTCAGAACTAAAGAAACAGAACGTGTGTGTCCAAGAATTGTTAAAAGTAGCAAAAGATGACCACTCACAAGAGCTGGTCAAAGAAATTTAAAGGTATATTGCAGTGTGATACAATGTAGCACTGAGAGAGACTCAAGCACCCTTTGTGTATCAATAGGTAACTCTCTAAGATACACTATTACAACTGGAAAAAAGGCACAGGAGCCCTCCCATGGAACAGTGCAGTCCCAGCCTGCATGGCCGCCACCTACTCTAGAAGGGAGACAGTCTTCCATGAGATACCCTTGGTGTGTGCCTTCATGTCTGATACATATGTGTATCACCTGTTCACAAAACAGAATTAGCAAAATGGACTCAGCAACAGATCTTCTCTACTTGCTCGCCAGGTGGGGAGAAGTGGGGCAGACAGAGTCAGAGTGAGCCTTCCTAGCCCACAACCCTGGTGTAACCAGCTGCACCTCTCTCATCGATGCCTGACCATAACCTGTTCAGGAATGAGAACCTTTCTTCATTGATTGATTGAACCCAGGGTTTTCTATCCCCAGCCCCTAGGACTTTCTTCTATCCAACCTCTTTTGCAAAGGAGGACATTGAAGGCCAAGTGAGAAAGCCACTAGCCAGAGGACAAGCTAGGCCTTTCTTATCCCAAGTCCAAAGCCACTTCTGTCCTCCAGCCCACTGCTTAGGGGCCTTTCTAAACTTGTTTAAAATAGTAATTTGGTTGCTGGAAGTGTGCCTCAAGTAGTAGAGCTCCTGCCTTACAAGCACAAAGCCCCAAATTCAAACCCCTGTACCACCAAAATAAATAAATAAATAATCTCAGTTTCCCTGAGAAGAGATGAAGGGCCAAGACTATATTTCCCAGAGGGACTTTGAGATTTGTTACTCAGGTTTTCACCTGTTTCCCAGGGATAATAATATAATCAAGTCACCCTTTCTAATCTATACTTAAGTAATTTTAGCTGGGCATGGTGGTACACACCTATAATCCCAGCACTCAAGCAGCAGAAGCAAGAAGATTGAGAGTTCAAGGCCAGCCTGGGGTACATAGCAAGACCCTGTATCAAAATACCAAGGGCTAGAGGGTGGGGTGGGATAATGAATTCAGTGGTAGAACACTTGCCTAGCATATGCAGGATTCTGGGTTTGATTCCTAACACCAAGCAAAAAATAGTAATTTTAGGCAGCAACAACTCAATTGTCCATTACTGGATGAAAGGATAAAGAAAATGTGATCCATCCATATAATGAAACTTTATTGACCATAAAAGGAAGAATGCTCTGACCCAATCTACAACCTGGGTGAACCTTGAAAACATTAAGCTGAGCAAGAGGAGTGGGACACAGGGCTGGTGGAGTGGTAGACCACCTGCCTAGCAAGCTTGAGGCCCTGAGTTCTAACCCCAGTGTCACAAAAAAAAAGAGGAGGAAGAAGAAAAAGGAGGAGGAGGAGAAGGAGAAGAAGAAGAAGAAGAAGAAGAAGAAGAAGAAGAAGAAGAAGAAGAAGAAGAAGAAAACAGGTGTTTAAGCAAAACACTGAGGGTGAATGTTGACAGCAGTGCTGGCCACACTGTCCAAGGACGAACCTTGGACACATGATAAGTGAAGCAGATACGGGGACAATACTGCATGATTCCAATTTTATAAACTATCTAGAAGAGACAAATTCAGCTGGGTGCCAGTGACTCAGGCCTGTAATCCAGCTACTGGGAGGCTGAGATCAGGAGGATCATGGTTTGAGACTAGCTCAGGCAAATAGCTCTGGAGACTTCATCTCTAAATAACCAAAGCAAAATGGACTGGAGATGTGGCTCAAGTGGCAGAGCACCTGCTTTGCAAGTGTGAAGCCCTGATTTCAAATGCTAGTCCCACCCCCACCCCGAAGAAAAAAAAGTTCTCAGGCTGGAGGTATGGCTCTGAGTTCCAACCCCAAAACCCCAATTGTTAAAATGCTACATTTATGATATACTTTACCACTCAGGGCCTCACATTGCTAGGCAGGTGCTCTACCACTTAAGCCACTCCACCAATCCTCTTTTGTGTTGCATATTTTTTAAAAAAATTTATCTATCCACTTTACTACTATTGATAGGATTGGAATTATTTCAAGGAAGGGCTACCATAGCATCTTTTTTTCTTTTTCTTTTCTTTTTTTTTTTTGGTGGTGCTGGGTTTGAACTCAGGGCCTCATGCTTGCTAGGTAGATGCTCTATCACTTGAGCCACTCCACCAGCCCTGTGTTGCATATTTTTGATATAGAATCTTGCAAACTATTTGTCTGGGTTGGCTTTGAACCACAAACCTCCTGATCTCTGCCTCCAGAGTAGCTAGGATTACAGGTGTGAGCCACCAGCACCTGGCTTCCACAAGAAACAATTTTAAGATCTACAAGCCTGGTTGAAACAAACTGGAGCAGCCTGTGCTAAGTCTCCCTCCACCCCACCTCCCCAGAGGCTGCCCCATGACTTTCTTCAGCACATTGCTTTCTGGTTCCTCGCCAGAGCCTTGGTGATATTTGGGGAGTTATTACTTCATTTCCCTGAGTACATTCCAGTCAGGTTACCCGGGCCCCCTTTCCTGGAAATGAAGAGGAATTGATTGGTGGACAGCTTTGTCTATATGCTCCTGTCTGTAGGTCCCAGGGTTCTTCTAAGCGGCCAGTCCTACCCAAACACAGAGCAGGGCCCTGCCAGAAACACCATTCCAGGGGATGAGGTCATTCCCTCCCCCACACACAAGCTTCCTTCTCTACCCACTTCCTCTCCCTGGCGGGGTCAGTGGCCAAGGGCCTCAGAAGCCCCCTAGAGTTGAGAGGGTCAAGGGACACGACACTGATGTGGGGAGTGTACCTGGAAAACAGTATGCCCTCGCCTGCCTTTCAGGACTGTACTAATTTACGCAGTGACAGACACACTCACACTCATCTGGCCAGCCAGCACTGGCCCAGAGCACCGCCTTCTCCTTCCTGCCTTCCTGCTCTGAGGAAAGCACATTAAACTTTTCTAGATCTAGGTTTTTGGTTCCACGTCTTTGTGAAACACCTGCAAAAAAACATAAGCGACCCCAACGTAACCAGCGGAGAGGAGGGGAGGCCTGGTGCGGACCCATAAGGAGAAGGCCTGATGCGGCCGGACCCTCCTCAAGATCACCTTTGCTCTGCAAAGCACACTTATCGTTATGTCCCCCGCCCCTGCTTACAAATGAAGACCCAGTTCTGGTCTAAACTATTTAAGGTGGGCTACTGTGATAGAGAGTTGCCTTTGGCCCACTATCTTGTCATTATAATCTCACTGTACATTTAAATTTCCTCCTGCCCCACCCCATAGGTTTCTCTTAAGTGGTCACAAGCAACTGAAACGTGCAAAGTGATTCCGCAAATGAACACGTCGTCATTCTCTCTCACCGCTTTGATGTCAGTCACTCCCGGTAGGTTGGTTCTGGGGAGGGACTTGGTGCTCTAAGCCACTTGAACTTCAGTAAGAGCTTGGGCTGATGTAGAAGTGATCGTTGTTCTCAGTCTCTTTCTGAGGAGACCCACTTTTTACCTCTGGTGCCTTTCTAGTCTAGTAAACTTTGCTATTCTGGTGGTTTGTTTTTTTTTTTGTTTGTTTGTTTTTTTTGGTGGTACTAGAGTTTGAACTTGGGACTTTCTATTTGCTACACAGACACCCTCTGCAGCTTGAGCCATGCCTCCAGTTCTTTTCCCTGTGGTTATTTTATTTTTTGGCAGTTCTGGGGTTTGATCTCAGGGCTTCATGCTTGCTAGGCAGGTGCTCTACCACTTGAGCCACTCCTCCAACACCATTGTTCTGGTTGTTTTTGAAGTAGGGTCTTACTTTTGGCCAGGCCAGCCTAGACCTCCATTCTCCTGTTTTACATTTCCTGCTATAGTTGGGATGACAGGCAAGGGCTACCATGCCAAGTTTTTTTTTTTTTTTTTTCGTTGAACTGGAATCTCACAAACTTTTTTGCCCAAGGTGGCC